GGCTTCATATGTGATTTAAGTTTTAGTAATATTTTTATGAATGTGGATGCCTTTTTATTTGGGGCATAGATGTTCAGGATAGACACTTCATCTCGGTGGATTTCTCCTATGATGAGTATGTAACGACCTCCTTCATCTCTTTTGATTGATTTTATATTAAAGTCTAGTTTGTTAGATATTATGATTGCTATGCCTGCTTGTTTCTTGGGTCCATTTGATTGGAAACTTTTTTCCAACCTTTAACTGTCAGGTAATGTCTGTCTTTGAGGGTTAGGTGTGTTTCTTGTATGCCTAAGAAGGAAGGGTTCTGTCTTCGAATCCATTCTGCTAGCTGTGTCCTTTTATGGGTGAGTTAAGGCCATTAATGTTTGGGATATTAACGACCATTGATTGCTCATCCTTCTTTGATTTTCAATGGTTGTTGTTGGTGGAATTATGTTTGGAATTTCACCCCTTTGTTCTTTTGGCTGTTGGTAGAGAGGGATTCTCTATTGCCTATGTTTTCCTGGTTGTAGTTAACTTCCTTGGGTTGGATTTTTCCTCCCAAAACTTTCTGAAGGGCTGGGTTAGTGGATACATATTGCTTGAATCTAGTTTTGTCATGGAATATCTTGTTTTCTCCATCTATAGTGATTGAGAGCTTTGCCGGGTATAGTAGTCTGGACTGGCATCCATGGTCTCTTAGTGTTGGTAGAATATCTATCCAGGACCTTCTGGCTTTCAGAGTTATCATGGAGAAGTCAGGTGTAATTCTGATAGGTCTGCCTTTATATATTACTTGGCCTTTTTCCTTAGCTGCTCTTAATATTCTTTCTTTATTCTCTATATTTGGGGTCTTGATTATTATGTTGCAAGGGGACTTTTTTTGTGGTCCACTCTATTTGGTGTCTGTAAGCTTCTTGTACCTTCGTTGACATGTCTTTCTTACGGTTGGGAAAGTTTTATTCTATGATTTTGTTGAATATGTTTTCTGCCCCTTTGAAGTGGTTTTCTTCTCCTTCTTCTATACCTATTATTCTTAGGTTTGGTCTTTTCATGTTGTCCCATATTTCCTGGATGTTTTGTGTCAAGGATTTGTTGGACTTAAGGTTTTCTTTGGTTGATGAATCCATTTCTCCTAGTGTATCTTCAACATTTGAGATTCTCTCTTCCATCTCTTCTATTCTGTTTGTAATGCTTGTATCGGTAGTACCTGACCCTTTGCCCAGCTTTTCTATTTCCTGCCTTTCTTCAGATCGTGTTTTTTTATTGCCCCTATTTCAGTTTTCAACTCTTGCAGTGTTTGCATTGTTTCTTGCAATTTTCGGTTTATCTTTTCGTCCATTTGTTGCCGTTTATGAATTTTTTGGTTTGTTTCTTCTTCCATTTCTTGCATTTTTTGCTTTGTTTCTTCTTCCATTTCCTGCCTTTTTTGGTTTGTTTCTTCTTCCATTTCTTTAATTTTTTGCTTTGTTTTTTCTTCCATTTCTTGCATTTTTTTGCTTCGTTTCTTCTTCCATTTCTTGCAATTTTTGGTTTGTTTTTTCTTCCATTTCTTTGAGGGATTTTCCTATATCCTCTTTTAGGGCCTCTGTCATTTTCATGAAAGTGGTTTTAAGGTCATTCTCTTCTGCTTCGTTTGCATTGGAATGTTGGAGTCTTGCTGGTGTGGAGTCTCTAGAATCTGGTGGCGTCATATTTGTCTTTCTGTTGCTGAGTGTGTTTTTGTATTTTCTCTTTACCATCTCTTCTTCTAGTGGGTGCAGAAAGAGCCCCTTACTGGTCTGGTGTTTAGGGGACCAGAGTTTCCTTTTGGTGGGTGCTAGCAAGTCCAATAATCTGGTAGTTCCTCTATTCCTTGTCCTCATTCTGGTCCAGTGGTTGGAGAAGAAGAACAGGAATCTGGGGTGCTTAGCCTCCCACCTGGTCCCCTGGACCCTTTGCTGGCTCCTGTTGTACCTGATCCAGCCAGAACAGCTGCTCCCCTGGTCTCCCTGGCTCCTCTGGTTTCCTGGTCTCCTTGGTGGGAGAGAAGTCCTGGAATCTGGGGAATTTGGCTCCCGCAGGGATTGGAAACTCTGTGCAGTTCCCAGAGGATCCCCAGGCATTGGAACACAGGCCCAGAAGCAGGGCCTGTTGTACCTGATCCCGCTGCCAGAACAGCTCTATAGTAGATCTTTAAGTCAGGGATAGTGATGCCTCCTGAATTTCCTTTACTGTACAGAGTTGTTTTCGCTATCCTGGGTCTTTTATTTTTCCATATAAAGTTGGATATTGTTCTTTAAAGGTCTGTGAAGAATTGTGCTGGAATTTTGATAAGGATTGCATTGAATCTGTAGTTGATTTGGAAATATTGCCATTTTAACTATGTTGATCCTACCTATACAAGAGCATAGGTGATCTTTCCAATTTCTGGTATCTTCTTTAATTCATTTTTTTACTTTTTTAGACTTGTGAGAAAGAATTTTCTGAAGACAAAGACACCTTCATATAATCACATAGAAATTTGTTAGCTGCATAATTGAAAAAATTGTCACAATTTTAAGAATGAAAGGAATATGATTGAGCACATGCAGTTAATAAACAGAATGACTGGAGCATATTGAACACATGATTACCACTGACAGGAGATCTTTTAGGGAACATATCAGTCTTTGTTATGGTATTATACACCAAATGTTAAAAATGTGAGGAGTCTCGTTCAAGGTAATCTCAATGGTCAAAGTTAGAGTCGGAATTTGAGTATGGTTATTCTGAAGCCCAGACCTCAGATGCTTTCTTAGTGATGAAAGAGGCAACAAGGAGTCTGCATGCTTTGTTTTGTTTCAAATTCTACTGTGTTAGGTATCACATAGATTAGGTGTCAAATGCTTATTCACATGGAGCTTTTTTGGCTTAGACTCCATTGTAATTAGACTTAAGGAGCACCATAACTATCTGTGCTCACTGGATACTACTAAATGCTGCACAGCTTTATGGAAATTCAGATTTCCCTAGCTAGAATTCATCTTTGCTGGCAGGTTGAAACATAATCTCTTAGACTGATACTCTAAGCCCATCATTATTAGATCAGAACTCTTAGCTCTTTTCTGGAGGATTTCTAAGATGAGAGAATGCTAGATACTCTCTAGGGAGATGAGGGTGAGAGGGAACATGTCTAACCTCTCTTTTAGCTCTTCTTCATCTCTTCTTCTCCAAGTGGATACATGTGCCTAGAGCCACAGTATCTGAACTCCTGAGCAGGCTGCCCTTTCTGACATCCCTATGAGGCCTACATGTGCAACTGAGTGGTTAGTTCAAGGCCTAAGCATTCCCAGGGACAAGGAAAAACTCATTTGACTTCTGCACTAGAGATCAGAGAGAACTTGCAGAACCCTATGAGACCAATGCTATTCTCTCTCTTGCCCAGTATTTGCACACATTGACTTTATAGACCAGAAAGCAAGAAAGACAGAAAGGTTGAGGTTCTAAAACACACGTATCCCCTCCAAGATACCCATTCATGAATTTTGGCATGAAGGCTCAAAAATAGTTTGTTATCTTGAATCAAATGGTGTATTTTATAAACTGGAATCTCTGTAGCCATTTCCTGTAATGGCTTTAGGTGTCACCAAGTTCACTGTATTAGTTTCCCAGGGCTGTGACAAGGAGGTTTATAAAGTGACTGGAAATAACATCTTCTCACAAGCATTGAAACTTGAGGCTTGAGATGAAGGTGGTGGCAGAGCCACAGTCCCTCTCAAACTCCAGGTAGGGTCCTGTCTCATCTTCTGGGAGATTCTCTGTTACCAGGACTCTGCAGGGCTCCTTGTCTTATAATGCATCCATTCCAGTCTCTCTTACATAGTTGCTATACATTGTTCACAACTTGTTGGACACTCCTTACAACTCCTGTACTGATCCTGGTCATCTCCCTAACTTCTTAGTCAGAATCATCTGAAGGTTAGCTGTAACCCCCCTCCCCTGTTTTTCTGTCTCCTTTTCCAGGCTTTTGGTCTATAGTTTTAAAATCTGCCCACATCCTGATTGCTTCAGATTTTATCTTAGGTCCAGACTTCTTCCTTGAGCTCAGGGCTTCTCTATTCATTTGTTTAATTGATTTCAAATTAAATATATACAATAAAGAGCTTTGTCTGCTCCCACTAACTTTCACGAGTACCTCACTTTCATTCCCTGAACAAATCCTAACACCTTCACTTTCAAATACAAGCCAACCCGAACTCTGTGGGCTTCTCATTATTTATATTCTGTTCTTCTATAATCTTCTTAAGATTTTTAACCAATTGATAAGTCACATTTTTCTTTTCACTCAGATGCCACAGCCACCATAATTAAAATTTCAAATCCTACTCCCCTAAAAGTGATGAAAATTTGTGCTACAACATTTTATTATGCTGCTGCTCATTAAAATTTCTATCTATAACTACATATGATTTATATATTTACACATTTACTTTGTTGATGTATTTACCCATTAGAATGCAGTTTTTATTAGGGCTTACAGACTTGTGTTAGTGGCCCTCCATTACATTAAACACTGTCTGGGACAATAGCTACTGTTCAGTAAATAGACTTTGGACAAATACAGGTTGTTCCATTCCTTTTAGAAAACCAAGTCCTCATGGAGCATGGCATTGCCAGCCCACAACCCCACCGCTAGAGGGTCTAGGGTGCAGGGAGGACCCTAAGAGAGATGTACATGGTAACCCAGAGAAGGGTTAGGAGATAAGATCTCATAATTGGATTGGGGGAGGTAAGGGTAGAAGGAGATGGGAGAAAGAGAGAGACAAAGAGGAGGGGAGAGGAGGACATGGGATAGCAGAAAGGTTGAGCCAGGGTATGAATAGAGGAGAAAATGATGGGAGATACCAGAAAAGAGGGAGCCAGTTTAAGTTGGAGGAGAGATCTGGCACTAGTGAGATCTTCACAGATCTGCAAGAATGACACCAACTGGCATTAAGGCTATCTTAAATGCCCTCCCATGATAATGAGAATGATGACTACCTTACATGCCATCCTAGAACTCTCATCCAATGGCTGATGGAGACAGAGTCAGACACCCATAACCGTGAACCGAATTGAACCCCTGGAACCCAGTTGAAAGAAGAGTGATGACCAAAGGAATCAATATCGGGGTGGCAAACCCACAGAGGCAGCTGACCTAAACAAAGCGGAACACATGGACCCCAGACTGATGACTGAGTGGCCAGCATGGGACCGATCCAGACACCCTCCCACCGAACCTGGGTGACAGAGAGGAGGCCTTGGCAATCTGTGGGACCTGGGAGAGTGGAGCAGTATTTATTCCTGGCATACAGAAGGACTCTGGGAATCTATGCCACGTGGAGGGATGCTCTCTCAGCCTGGACACATGAGGAAGAACCTGGGCCCTTCCCGGGATGATGTGAAAGACCCTGAAAATCCCTCATGGAGGCCCTTGCCCTCCCTGAGGAGCAGAGGGGATGTGGAGTGTGGTGATGGGTTGGGAGGATTAGGATGTGGGGGAGGAGGGGGAGGAAGAGGGAACTGAAAGTAACATGCATAAAAAATTAAATAAAAAAATAAATGAAAAAAAAAGAAAACCAGGTCCTACTTATCCTCTGGGTCTTGTGCATCTATTCACATTTTCCTAAAGATTTTTAAATATCTACAACTAACCCTGCTCACCTGGTATCCTCATGGCCATTGATTATATATGCTTGTTATATACGTGTATCTTTCAGGTGGCTTCATAATGAGGACATGAGTCTCAGAAAAGCAATTATGGTCTTTGTCTCCATTCTTCTGTCTGTGAACTGTTTGGGTCATCACCCACAGTCTAACATGAGGGAGTAGGCTTCCTGTACTCACTGTATAAGAGATACTGAGGTACCTTCCAAAGTAGGAACAAAAGGTGATAGATCCCATATGGCTAAATAAAAACCTTACACTGCTTGCAGGGGTGCCTTTATGACTTTTTCCCCTTATCACCTTTATGGTCATGAGAAGAGATTAAAATTCTAAGCATCAAGTGTGGCATAGAAGACAAGGCTGAAGCTGCCAGCTTCAAGTCACTCAAGTGGATCCAAACAACACAAACCACAATAATGAAAGTCCCAGAAGATAAGAAGCTTCAACATCAAGGAAGTATAATTGTAGAAATGTTGAAGGCAGAAAGTTTTGTATTAAAACAAAAATCCATTCCAGTCCCCACAGGACCTTTGCCATATAACATCACATAGACACTGAATATGTCTGGGTAATGGGGTAAGGGTATATACTCTAGTTTTCCCTCAAAAACTTTGCACCAAACTTTCTTCTTATAACTATATATTCTTTCCTATCAATAGCTCTTAATTTGATCTAAACAGAAATAACTTCTCTAGTTTGTTTCCAAAAATGGTGTAATTTATCTGCATCTTGTAGTCTCATTAAAGATGCTCTGATCTGATCAAGGTGCTGTGATAATAATGGAGTCACCCTGTTTCATAGAATGACCAAACTATTTTTCTTAGTCACAAACACACAGAGTGGGAGGGTGTGAAAGTGGTCAGTATGCTTTATGTGCATGTGAAGAATTGCTTATTTATTCATCTCATTACTTTTAATTAACATTTAAAAAATTCCTGTGTATGTGTATGTGTGGGTTTTTATATATTGATGTAAATGCTAGTGTGCCATATCGTATATGTGAAAGTCAGAGGAACATCTTGGGGCTATGCCTTCAATTTTCACCTCATTGTAGATAGGGACTCTTGTTATTCAGTGCTGGGAGACCCAGGCTAGCTGTCCTGTGAGCTTTGAAGAAGTCCCATCTCCATCTTCCCATTTAATTTTCTGTAGGAGCATTGGGACTACAGGTGTGAGCTGCCATACCCTGTTTTATGTGTGCTCTGGGGATTTGAGCTCAGTTCTTAATGCTTATGCAGTGGGCACTCTGTCCTGGGGTTAAAGGCATGCCTCATTACCACCTGACTCATCTAATTCCATTCTTAAGATGACTTATGCTACAAAGTCAGAGGGACATAAGAGAAAGAAGGAAAAGTCTACCTTCCCCCTTCAGTAACAATCTGTAGTCACCACTCTTCTCCAAGACAGCCAGATTGGTCAACATCTTACAGGCATGCATTCCACATATATAAAACCATATAAATTCAGGTTCTAAATTTTTCTCTCCAAATGAAAACAGAATGAAAACAATATTGCCCATCTATCTTTTCCCATTTATTATATGTAATAGGCTGCACCAATTTTGCATAAAGGGCTGCCTTGTCTTTGTTTTAAAAAACAGATGCCTGATGTGGAGTGAAGGGAGAGTTCTAGTTTAACTTGCTCCATTTTATATTAATGGAGACTTAGACTATTATATTCAGTGTGTTGCTGTTAAAAAACACAGCATCACCAAGTTCTTTGGGATGTACATCATTTCACATATAGAAAAGATTATCTTCAGAATACCTTTCTAAGACTGAAACTGCTGACTCTAAATTTACTTAAGGTTTAATTTAATATGAATTGTTATCCATGTTTCCTTGAAGATTTAGATTCAAGCTTCTATCATCAATGAGTAAAAACATTGTTTCCCTCGTGTGGGTATTATCAAATGATGACCTCTCTGTGAACAAACTAGGTTTGAAATTATTTTCTCTGAAGTTTCACTTTTCTTGTATTCATTTGGGAGTTGTTTCCACAGTTACTAGCTTCACTTTATTCTCTCAGCATACACCCTGTACACCATTAACTCTCTTTTCTGCTCATGGTGATTTTTTTCTATTTCTCACTGAGTTATAGGAGATCCTCTCATGGAAAGCTATTATCCATTAATGATTTTCATGATGCATCCTCTATATATCTTTCCTGGTGTGTCACTTGCACCAGAGCATTTGTTTGTACTATTATGTTCTTTTGTGGAACTTAGAATTTGCTTTTATGTAGTCAAATATTTATACTAAATAAGGATTGAAGGGAAGAGGAAGATGTCAGTGGTTGCTACTGAAAAATAAGTGATGGATAGATGGGACATCACAACAAATATGGAAATTGGTTGTTGAGTGATGGAGCATAAGATTGAGATGTGGAATATGGGCAGTATCAAGGTTAAAGTATTACCATAAGGGTGGTAGCTGGAAAGAGGGGATGACTACACATATATACCAAATAGAAGGAATGGAAAGAAGCAAGTGTTAGTGAACTTTCCAAACACATATTGGTGTGGCATGTGTGCAGGTTGTAAGGTCTGAGTATAGATAGAGCAAGCCTCACACAACAAGAAAAGACTTAGTAAATGTTCAGCTGCAAGGAACAATCAAAAGTAGGGAGAGGGGATGACTCTAGTTTATTATGAAGCTTTAATCCTAAAGTGGGATAGCTGTGTATCACTGTAGTTAAAAGACTATCTAGAGCATTAAAAGCTAGCTCTGTCCCAGAATTCTCTTCCATTCTCTAAGCCTCAGTATTCCCATTTGTTAAATTAGTCTATTCAACTCAATTAATGATATAAATTCTTGTGACTTTAATATTTCATAAGTCTGCACTGCCCTGGACAGTATCCCTGCAAACTGACATTTTCCCTTTCAGATGCACAGTGCATATACATTGCAAACCCTGGCATACTCTCCAAGCTCTCAGAGGGGGTAGACCAGTTCTCCTGGTTGGCATGAAGCCATCTTCAAGGGGAGCCTTTGAAATATTGACAGCCAAATTGGATCAAGGCCCAGATTTAAAAGAAATCAAAAGCCCAACCTTAAATAAAAACCAGCTGGAAATACAACTATTAAAAAAGATGTGGAGTGGGGGGAGGCACATTCTGTAGGCTTGGACCTTATTGCACATGTAAAACACAAACACTAGAGGCCAAAAAGCAGCCTCTCTGTAGAGTATTAATAGGAGAGTTTGGGCAATCATCTTGATTTGTGTAATGAGAACCTGCTGTTTCAACATGTTTAGTCTCATTAACCATGAGTAAGAAGAGGCATCTTTTATCGTGTGGCTCACAAAACTGTGGCATTTTTTCTCTCTGATAGAACATGGAGATAGAATTGGTACAACCCCTTTTATATAATCTGACTTAATTTTCATATCAACCTTCAAAGGTGAGGGAATTATGCTCTGACCACTTGACTGCATTTCCCTGTGTCTCAAGCCATATTATATATATATCTGACCTGGCCTTAACAATGCTTAATATGTGAAGCTTGTGCATGTAGTGAGAAACTCCAGTAAGCTGAAACAGGACATCCCACCAAAGTCATTGAACACAAGGCACATAGACTGCCTAGGCTTTGGCAGAGAGCTCATGTTCAAAGCCATATCCAGGTGATGCTACAGGAGAAATATACAGTCAGCAGGGGCAGAGGGAAAAGGTGGCACACAGAAATTAAGAGTCAAGCAAGGTTCATCTACAGAAGACTAATCTAATAGCTGAGAATCATATAGTACAGCACAGTGACCAGAGTGAGCAGCAAAGGGAGCTGGAAGAAGAGCCCACTGAAATCTTGATGGTAGGAAGGTCTGCTTGCTAGCAGTGTGTCTCCGCAGGGGAAGTGACACATCAGAGATTATAGCTAGCCTAAAGTGATGGCATGGTAGAGATTCAGTGGTGTCAGAAATTCCTCTCTTCGCTTCCCAGTTGGGGCTTCTTTTAGGCCTGGCCTGAATCAGAAGCTAAAGGACACAGGAGGTAGGGTATTCTTTAAACAGCCAGCCTCCCTGTACAAGAGCAGCAGGTCCCAGTGGGCAGTCAGAGAGTGATCATGCCAGAGAACAGGAACAAAAGAGGTATATACTGATATGGAGGCCAATGGAGTAGTGATAATGTTTTATCTAATGCTGTAGTTTGTCTTTATGTGCCAAGGAGTTCACTGTGTACTCTGCCAACTAAAATGTCAATGGGAGGTAAAACTTGATCTAATTTCCACTGAGATCTGTTTCTTCATATGCATGCTTAAGTGCCTCTGTAATAGTGGAATGCCAAGTACTTGCAAGTTGGAGTAATTTTTTTTACCTTCTGCATTATGAGAATCCTCTTGTAACCCAAGGCCATGTGCTTGGATGTATCAGGTCCTGGTAGACTAACTTAG